CTTAACTGATTACTCTCATTATAGTTGGTATGGCAACACCCATTTTTTCCTCTGTGTATATATATCTTCCTACTGTATTTTCCACTACATGCATCTGATGAAGTGGGTTTTATGCTCAAATAAATTTGTTAGTCTCTAAGGTGCCACAAGTATTCCTCGTTCTTTTTACAAATTACAAAGACAGCCTTCAGAATGTAAATTTAGGCTCTGCTGTCTTAATGAGTTCCAAAGCCATTTAGAAAAGCCATTGGAAGCCAAGAGACAAAAACAAAACAAACAAAAACACAACACACCACCATCATCATATTTTATGGGCAAAAATTCTTTTAAATAAAGCTCAAGATACCATTATACTGTCAACAGAACAGTTCAATAGTCTGTTTAAATTTCCTGAGGAATTGTAGGCCTCTTAATCCTGTGAGGTTTCTCTGTCCTGTAAACCCCTCCATAGTCGGTTAGAAGTGTATAATTTCTGAAAATTATAGCCACAAAAGTAAACATTGTTTTCAATCTCATCTGTTTAAAATGTTGCTTGAGTACTATTCCAGTGGCTTCCAAGCCATGGATTTAAAGGTTTAAAGTTCCCATGGCTGGAATTGGTTCCTTTTCTCGTGATAGCCTTCTGTTACACTTTCATTGTTTTGCCCCCATCACCTATATATCTTGCTTAGATCTGGAAACATTCCCCTTAAATCATCCAAGACCAGACTGTCCCAAGTGGCCTCCCTTTTTGCGTGACACCTAATTTTCCAGTGTGCTGAGCATAGGGTGACCAGACAGCAAGTGCGAAAAATCGGGACGGCGGTGAGGGGTAATAGGCTTCTATATAAGAAAAAGCCACAAATATCGGGACTGTCCCTATAAAATCGGGACATTTGGTCACCCTAGCTGAGCACTTTCAGCCCCATTGATTTCACCTGGAGTCGCTCAGAGCCTCTGAAAATCAGCTCCTAGAGGCACAATTTTGAAAGATGGTGAAGTGAGCATGGGTGGAAGGCGCTGAGTGCCGCCAGTGGGAACCAAGGGTGTTCAGGACCTTGCTGGGCTGAGCCCTTGGTGTCAAGGTCATTTTTGAAAATATGGGGTCTTAAATATAGATAGCCTTTTACCCTGCTGCAATGAATCATTGCGCAATGTCGTAATAGAATCCGTTTTACTTCTATTATCAAGTGGAGGATTTAGGGCTCATGCAAGTGAGGCACGACTAGCACTGGCCAAAGCTACACAGTACAAGTTCTGCAAGCTTCTCCATGTAAATTGTGTTAATCCTCATCAGTCCTGACCTGCAGCAACTCTGGTATTTTCTAGTCCTTAGCCATCTCTCCTGCATGATGTACGGTGATCTAGGGACAAGTGGCTAAGCAATAGCTGTGTTGGGACCACTGCTACTTATGAGACTCATTGTCCCCTCACCCTTACAGTGTTCTCCCGTGTGTGTCTGTATCCATGAATTGTCTCTCATCATATACTTGGATCTGGGTAGCCAATAGTCGGACCGCGGGGCAAATCCAGACCATCAGATGCTTTTGAACAGACCCAGAAATCTTTATTTACTTAACATTATTGTTGTTGCATTGTGAAAAATGTTTCTCTGGAGTCTGGACCTTGACTATACCCTGACCAAGAAATTTGGACTTGGACAAAAAAATAATTGACTACCCTGACCTAGACTGTGAGCTCTTTGGCATAAGGACCGTCTTTTCATTATGTATGAAAGGAGCCTAGAAATGGGGCCTCTTGGCATTATCATAATATAAAAAGGAATAAATAATGTGTTCACTAATGACTAGGACCAGACCACCAAATATTTTATAATGAAAAGCTCACGGAGTTTTCTTCACCTGGACTTTTCTTCCCAATGAAAAGCTCAGGGACCGAACTCTGATCTTAGTCATTCTAAATTTAGATTAGTGTATTGAGCTCAGAATCTGGCCCAGTATGTATATTTTATGTCCATTTTTACAGTGCTATTTTAAAAATACTTTTGAGGGTGCTGAGTCCCTGGAACTCCCAGTGCTCAGCAGCAAACAGACATCACTTACGAAAAATGTTGATCTGTTATGAACAGTAGGAGCTTTTGTACAAGTGGCCCTTGGCAGATCCCCACCCTAGTCAGGAAAAGGTTAAAGAGGATTCTCTGGGCATAATCCCCCTCAGACCAGCTCGTCAAGGCTGGGCAGGTCGTGAAAAGGAGACTCCTTGCTCAGGGCAGGGTGACATTCTGAAGAGCAGAACTCCCAACTCAGAGCTCCGCAGCCCCTGGAAGGACGGGTTGCTGTCTGGGGAATGGCTAGAGAGCGTTGGCCTCCCGAGTCCTCTCAGAAAGGGAAAGGGCCGGGTCTCCTCTCTTTTTTCTTCTTTCTCTTTGGCTTCCCAAAGGCCCAGGACTCTGCTTTTGTGGGTTGCAGAAGCATCTTGACACCTTGGTTGGACTGTTTTAACTCCCCACACAACAAGGCAGAGGGCTAAACAGCAGAGCCAGAGGCCTGTGCTCGGGACTCTGAGACAGGAGCAGCGCCCACCCTCCCCAGGAGGTGCGAGGGGGGTATCGCCTTTTACAGGCCCTGGTTCTGAGTTAAGTGGGGCTTTATGCCACCTCTGGGCAACTAAATTCTGGATTGTTCTGGGGGCTTGCATGGACCCTGGCGTAAGTCTGCCTTCTGCTGCCTCCAACTATTTGCTGCAGCGCCTTCTAGCAGCCCACTGCAGCCATACCGGCTCGCGGAACATCTGCTCCTGCCCACAACTCCTCCCTGGCGTGCTCATACACCAAGGGCAGCACAGGGCTTTGCCAGCATGGAAATCCCTTTTTGTCAAGGGAATCCACAACCTGGGGTGGGGGGCTGGTAATCAATCTAGGTCCTGGTTACTAGAGCATGTCCCAGAATTGGGACCCTTGTGTCTACTCATAATCATGGCTGAGAGGAGTCCTAAAACTGCATCCTTGTATATGAAACCAGGGGTACATTTACACTGCAAGCAGCGCAAGTCTCCAAGCCCAAGGCAACAGACAGGGGCTGGTGGTCAGGCTGTGGCACTAAAAACAGCTGTGGAGATGTAGCAGCTTGGGCTCTGAAGCCCCCACTCTCACCCCCCAGTTTCAGTGCCTGAGCTCCAGCCTGAGCCATAATATCCACCCAGTTCTTTTTAGCACTGCAGCACAGTCCCGAGTCTGTTGACCCGGGCTCTGTCACTCACTTGCTGTAGACCTACCCCCAACGTTCCTCTCCAATGAGAGAAATGAACTGTGCAGAGATGCTAATTCATTTCAAAGACTCTGGAATGATTAGGGATGTGGCCGTGTGTTGTTAAAGTGGCCATTGTTCTTTATTAACAGCATTTTCTTCAGCGGCGTTGTTTAAAGCAGCTTTTTCAAATACAGCAGAATCCACATAGGGGCTAGCGTATATGCTATAGGAAGGTGGAAATCCCACTGAAGTCTTGCCATGCATCTTGAATTTGGTGGGACTTTTGCCTGCATAACAAGTCGGGGTCTGGTCCTTAATTAACACTGCCAGACATAACTAGAAATATGCCCTTGTTTAGCATCTTTGGAAAGCACTTCACTCAGTCTGTTTATTGTCAGCCATGTCAGTTAAGTGGGTGTATTATATCGTTGGGCAGAAGATTAAGTCAATTCTTCTGCATTTAATAAATAGTTTCAGGAAATCAAAGTTCCAGCTCAGCATATTCTTCTAAAGCAAATGAAGAGCACTTCAGCTCGTCATAATTTTAGCCAACAGAAAATGAATTCTATCTGTCCATGCACAATAATTCAATAAGATTTTACCATATCCGTGACCCATCTATCTGATACATTTCAGTGTGTTACAAAAAGCATTTAGTAAGGGAGGTGATGTTGAATTCTGCAAAATGATTTTATGTCCTTAGCCGTCAGATTGTATGAGGCTTAGTTTAGCTTACATAGTGACACGTCAGCTTTTCCATGATATGCAATTTTCCTTTCACATGTCATTTCCTCAAAGCCAGATTTTCAAAAGAACTCAGCTCCCAGATGAAGTAAGCACAACTTCAAAAGGACTCCCCATCCAGCAGCTCCCATCTAGAACAGGTAGAGCTGCCAAGCAGTTTTGAAAACTTTTTCCTAACTGCCTCAGGGTGAAACTTGCTATAAATGCATGAGGGGGTTATTATTTACTGAATGTCAAGCCCATTAATCTTTTCTCAAGTAGAATAACTCTAGTTCCAGCTCAGATAACTCTAGGGCCCCCGTGAGCCTAGTGTTCAGGCATGGGCTGCATTAGTTAAGATTCAGCAGAAGAGGTCCATAGAGGACTCTGCTTTTTGCCTCTCTTGGGTTTGGTATAACTTTCACTTATTATCTTTGTTTTCTTCACTTTGAGGCCCTGATGATGAACTAATTTTCACATGAATTACAACATTACATTGATAGAATGATATTCTCTGCTGTGGGGTACCCCAAAAGCAAACTATTTTATGAGAGCATTCAGATGTAAAATCCAGTCATTTTCTTCCTGATGCCAAAGCACAGCAGTCCCTCCAACACTCCAAGGTCAAATCCAGTGCAGTGCCAAAACTCGCACAGGCAAGTTTAAGTTTATGTCATTACAAGATGGCATAGAACCTCAGTGAATTTGGCACTCTATCTTTGGAAAAAAACACTGTAGAGAAGACATGCGGGACTATGGGGAGGTGAGACTCCATGTAGGTATAGAAAGTTTAAATTGCACCAGCTCCCACCCAGGAGAAAATAGTAGGAATCCAAAATATACTGACCACTTCTACCAGAGAGAGCCTGCTAACAGTACCAGTGGAGGCAGCATTGAGTCAGTAGGGTGCTAGGCGCCTTGGGTCTCTTTATTGCCTGAACCTGAAGTCAGTGGATCTTCCCGCTGAGGCAAAAGTACAGGGTTCATAACTAGCCTGGACTGAGTGCTTCTGCATCTGTCCAACAACTCCAGTGAGACCAGATATGGGTTATACCAAGATATCCATTCAGCCACAGAAGAGACAGAAGATTAAATTATATCTTTTTAATTCATGGTTATATCAAAGAGCTCTTTTTATTGTGATTTTGATTTTACTTAATTCGCAGATTATTAGGAGAGCTACCTCTCCTCTGAAGATGGCAAATTCTCATAATCCTAATTGTGCATATGTATTCCAAAAAAAGTTAATCATGGTTATAAATGAACATTATTGCCTTCATAACAAAAGGTTGGTTATTTAAAATATATATACATATGCGCACACACACACACACATTACCTTTGTTACATTATTTTTAAAAAGCCACACCAAAAAGCCATAGGTGAAGTGTTTGAACAATAAATAATCTACTTTTCTATAAACGTACAAAATCATGCCAGCAAGTAAAAAACAGTGATACAAATGTGATAATTGAAAGATATATTCACTTTATAACTCTAATAATTTATTTATGAAATATATCCATATATATATAATATATATATATATAATTTTTTGGCAGAGACGTTACCCTTTCTTGTTTCAATGTCTATTGCCACTGTTTAACCTATATATCCATTTGTATTGTGAACTCAAAGTTCAGTTATATTCAATTTGCAGTTTTTGTTTTGGTCTGCAACTATTTTCTGATAAAATATAAATGTCATTTGCTCATAGTTTCACCTAGGAAGATTTGTATAAAGGTCTAACAAAGGAATCAGTAATGCCACAAGTTAGGAAATTCGTCTGTTACATTTTAAATCATATCAAAGAGCAACATTTGGAAGCATTATTCATCCTCTTACTTGTTCTTTTGTTTTCCCGCAAAAAAACAGTCCATACTTGCTGATGAAATCACTTTTGATGATAAATTTCCAGGGACCAGCATTGTCCTTGTTCCCATTGTCTTGACATATCCTCAATCCTTCAACTGCTCAGTAAAGTAGTTTTCAAAGGTTAAAAACATGTCTTAAAACGTCAGCAAATAGGAATGTATACACTGGGTATGTATGGCACTGCACGTATGGGATTAGGAGAGAGAGAGATGTAAATTATTTTGAATGTATGAAGTTTAGATAATGCTTTTGTATCTGTCAGTCTTCATTTCATCCTCAGCAGATTCTTGTTGGTGGATAATTGGAATTCCATTCATCAACTACAGTGTATCCCTAGATAGTCATTGTAGCTGTGTTTCTGGATTGAACTTTCCAGCACAGAAATAATTTGTGCCTTAATTAAGTAACCTATTGAATACTTACTGTATATTGCTAACGTGCTATATTTTATAATGATATAATTATTAACCATTCATATTTATTCTGCATAGATACTGACATTTAAATATCTGCCAGCAAAGTTACAATATGATGATTGGCTAATAGCCTTGCATCTGTTAGCAAGAGACATATTTTGTTTCTGTTTATCCATAATGCAAATGTTTATACAGACAATTCTCTAATTTACCAGATTCTCCAATCATAATTGCTTGCATAAAGCTGGAACTGGGTACTTCACGCAGGCAGCAAGCACTAAGTGGAACAGTATGTTTCTACTGTATTATTTTTAAAATCAGGTAAAAAAAAAAGGCATTCTTGAATCTGTTTGTGTTGCTAAAGTTTGAATACTCCTTTTTCCCTCCCCCGCATCTCCAGGGTACATGCAAATACTCATCCTGTACTGCATGGTTTTTGACACTCTCGTCAGAGAAGTATAAAAGGATGCAATGTTCTTCACCCACATTCATGTGCCCTCAAACTGGCATCAATGCAATAAAGGCGTTGCATACTGCTGGATTATCTATTGGCAGCCAGCCTGAAGCATTCCAATATGTCCATCTCATGGGAGATTTGTAGCTTAGATTCTTGCTTCTGAGCTCTGGCAAACAAACACTAAACCTTTTAAAAAAATAAACTGGAATGAAAATTGCTGGATTATATTGCACTATATGGACCTGATTTTGAGACCAGCCTTGCCATGACCGCTGCAAAACTGGGGGTACAAAATTGTACCCATGATTATTTGTGGGTGCAATGAATGTCACTTGAAAATCTAATTATATCTGATTCTCAAACAAAATCATAAGGATGAATTCAAATCAGGAGTTTCTAATCCCCAACACTTCCCTTGAAAACTGCAGGTATGAAGTTCCAGATTTGGCCTGTCTACTTCCACTGGCTGCTGCGTTCCATCTCAGAACTGAAAGCATTTTGCCTTATTCTGATGTCAAGTGCGGTTAGTATTCAGAGTGGACTGGGGAGTGGAGGTGGAGAGGGTTAACAGAAATCAGAATCTAGGTCAAATTTACCTCTCCACGACTGGCAATAAACCAGATTTACTGCTGCTTCTAAATATTTTCTCCACCCAACTTATTCCACTTTCTGTGTCTTGGCAACTTAAGTTTTACTGAAACAATACATGAACAGATGTGTCCAAAGTTGCTCCAAGGCAAATTGAACAAAATCAAACATAAGTAAACAACCACTAAAAACACCAAACATATGACCAGTGCCAATAAATCTGTCTTAAAGCCTGAAAGATTAAATCCTTAGAAGTTCTGGCTGATTCATCAGCATTAACTGAGGCCATTCCTGTGAGAGTGCCTTAAATATTTCCGCAGTGTAATAAAGTTACAAAACAAACCTCTTGGCCAAATTCTGCTCTCGTTTAGGCTCATGATACTTCACTGATTTGAACTAAGAGCAAGATTTAGATCTTTGTATGCACAGGAACCCAAATTAATGTTTCTATCCACATAAAGTAGAACATGCACGTATATACTGTACCTCTCGGTTCAGAAACTGCCTGGACCCTCTGTGCTAATGAATGAGGGCACGTTCATTTTCTCTACGTTGCTCTTTCTCTGCTGTCTTTTTCAGTGACCCCTGATTACTGTGGAAAAGATAATGAGTTTAGGATTATTTTAGTGTCACCACTTCCATTTTGTCAGTCACCAACAGAGAGCTATTTTTTAAGATTTCAAATGATGTACTTTTCTTGGGAAAGAAGAAAACAGGCCTACGCGCTGGATTTTTTTCCTTTTGTCTGAAAAGAATGTAGGATTAAATATGCTCTGAATTATCCTATGTATTCTCCCAACTGAACAGGAGCTCTGCTACCTCATGGGTGCCACGTCGTTTAAAACAAAACTCCAGAAAGCAGTATTAAACTACTATCTGTGAGAATTTCATTTAGAATCAACAAATTTGTTGATCAATTTCATTTGTTGTGTGCAGCTTGATTTGACTGAAGTAGCTAATTGTATATATGTTCAGAGATGTTCAAAATTTACCTTACTATTTTTAAAACAGGAAATCAAAGACCCTCACCATCTGCTGTCCTGTGTTCTTGTGCAAAACAACATGCACTGTTTGTCATGTATGTCCAAACAAGAGCACCGCGATAAAGACCAATCTAAAGACTCGGTGCTCTTGCAAAGCTCTCCAGTAGACCTTTTGCCTCTGAAACTGCCTCGGTAGTTAGACAGCCCATATGGTACAGTCCTCCTGTAATGAGAAACACAGAGACGCTATACAATTTTAGGAGCTACTTTGGATACAGTTCAGTATATGTTTCCGTTCATTTATTTGTTTCCATGTAATAAAATGGTCTATTGCTCTGGGCTCCTGAACAATTCATTCATGCCACAACATTCACACAGAAAGTCCTTCCCTAACCAGATTGCAACTCCTCCGAGTTGAAACTGCACATTCAGAATAAGGCAGATAAAATGTCGTATGTGAAAATGCACTCCTAATAGACAGCAGCAAATATCAGCATGGAAAACAACAAATCTGCTTTCTGCAACCCTATTTGTTAATCACAATATACCAAGTACCTAAAATCTGAATAGAAATACAATCCCAGGTTGTTGCTCATTTTAATTCTCACTAGTTTTATTCTTATGTATGGGCCAGTCTCAATCCACTATGTAGAACGTTCCTAGTGAAATTACACATTCAGGGCCAACTCTTGATGATTTGCACCATCTGAGGAGCTGGCCCCCAGACACAACTGCCACTTACTACATGATTTTCATGGAGTGTTACCTGTATGTTCAGTTCACTGTGTCGGGCTTCAGGACATAGCCCGGAACCCCTAAATATGGGAATCAAGGGGACAATCCCCCTGGTGTGGAGGTCAACAATTGTGGAGGCGACCATGGCCCAGATGCTGTAGCATAGTGACTGTGAAATGGCTCCACTACTGCTCATCTACTAGACACTATATTCACTGCATCACATCAGGAAGAAGTCCTCCTTAATCCCCAGCAGTCTGTCTACTTCATTATTAATGAGGGATGTGCACTAGCATTGCCGATTGCTTTTTGCATTGTTTTTCTGAGTGGGTGCCCATTCTGCTAATATCCAAATGCACGTGCCTACTGGCAGCTGGTGTGATAAATCAAATTATCGTGAGAATTACCAGCGGGACTGTATTACCACCATGTGGCTACCAAACATGGGACTTCTAAAAGCCCATGAGGCAGCTCTAATTTATGCAAGGGTCAGGCCAGTCCAGTCAACCCACAAACTTGAAATTAGGGGGGAAAAAACTGTCCTTATTTCTAAAGGAAACAGGATGAGAGAAGAACAAAATAATTTTGACAGAGGGATGCAGAACAAAGCCTGGCTGCCTGCGAGTAATTAACTATGTAAGACAGACAAATATTGCGTGGTTGGACTGCTCCGTTTAATTTGTCCTCCTTAAATACCATTAGGCTAGCAATAAGAGATCTGCACAAGTTTTCCATCAGTACACACTTGGAGGGGCAGAGGGGTGGAGAGTGCAGGACAATATCTTCCTGCTGTCCACAAGAACACAAAGCTCTGAAGATTTTGATTGCTATCCACTGAAGTAATGCAATTTATTTATTCAGAGTTACCCACTTTTAACACATCATCTGTTTGTGTGCTGTCTTCACAGCTTTGTCTGCTGGAGCTTCAGTGCACTTACCAGGCAATGAGTAAAAACTTCCCCAGCCCACATGAAATCGCATCCGAAGAGGGAAATGGCTTGGAAGGAAAGAGACATCCCCTCTCTTTCCGGTAGGAGTTCATAGGAGCTGTGCTGTGATTGGCTCCTTTCCTACCTCCTCTAAAGGGCCTTAGGAACAGCAGAGCAGAAGTTGATGCTTAAACTAATAGCATTACGTTCCTGTGGGAATCTCCTCAGGCAATCAGGTTTCCCAAGGGACAGTGCTCAACAGAGCAGCTGTACCTAGCTCCACTCCCACCCCAGTGACCTGTTGTCTTGGAAACCCATCGGGCATAAACATTGCAGTAGGACATTCACCTGTTCTTGGGGAAGGGACAGTATTAGAGCCCTTGGACTCTACTCTGCCCCTTCCACATGGACCGGTTAGTTCTGTTGCAGATGTGCACTACTTGCATCCTGCCCAGGCCTTAAAACTGAGGCTGTCCTGGCATGTGAAAGTTCGTCTTAACGTTTCATCTTATTTAGGGCTAGACTGTGGAACTCTACTCATGCTGATTAGCACCTACTCTAAAAACTGTACGATCTTGGAGGTAAGGGATAAGACCATTTGTACAGAGGGCATTGTACATTTATAGTGCTAGATGATAATGCAGAAAGCATGGAATGGATTTTGCTGTGATTTGAAACTGAAAACTTTATTTTATGGCATACAGGTGTTAGAGGGAAATGGTTTTTAAAAGTGTTCTTGCAGAAAGCATTCCATCACATGCTGAATAGACACAGAAAAATTCCAATAGAAATGTACAGTAAAGTTTTCCTCACACTGGCCAACCTGGTTGCCATGAAAAAGTCAACATTTTCCAAAAGTTAGCAGTTATTTCCTACCCTCTGTAAAAGGGAAACTGGTGTCTTATGCTTCATGTCTTGGAAAAAGTATTCACAGCTTTGAGAATGTATTCAAGAGCACTTCATCCGTAAGGACCATACCAGGGCCAAAGTCAGTCATAGTTTGAGAAAGTGTAATTGCTATAAATGCTAAAACGCACATAAATGAAAGTTTTTATGTAAACCAATGTGCAGACTGGCCAGCTGAGGACAGAAAAATTACATCCCAACTAAAGGTCTCTTCACATCCCTGGCTTCAGATCTTCCTTTATTTCTAAAACACAAACCCAAAAGCAGAACAGAGGTACTCAGAGTATTGGGTAATACCAACCCAAGGGCTTTCCCACTTCAACCAGCTGGGAAGGGAAAATATATCCCTTCGTGAATACTATACTGAGACCCCACATTAGGGTTTTCCTCTGGGGTTCCTATCTGCTGCCCTTGGTTAAGAGGCAAGACACTTTATTTTTGGCTTCCTGTAGGTCACATGCTTGTACCTAATCATGTGCTTGTATCTACAACTCCAAATTTCAAAGGACCCCATAGCCTGGGACTTGTGCATGTTCTCCCATGCGCTGTTACCTCAGGCTATTGACATTTTGGAAAAAGTCAGGCTTGTGTGCTGTATTCAGTGCCTCTCTGTTAACCAAATCGTCTCCTCCTCACTACCTCTATTCTTCTCCCGCCATTTTCTTTTTATTCTGGGTTCATGCACCCATTCTGTAATCTAAAACTGTGGTCTGGTATCACATCTGATGTTACTGAGGGGTGCTGCATCAGCCTGGTGCAGAGCATTTTGCAAGACGCCTCAGAGTTCAGGCCTTGATTTCTACCCAGCTCAGCAATTTGTTTGGGCACGATCCTGTGCTCCATAGACAGGCCCAAACCCCATTGATTTGTGTGTATTGTCTGACTATAGCTATTGTATGATGAGTTTAGTTCATAAGCTTCAAAGGGATCACGTTCCACAGGCAGCAGGGATAAAGTCAGTGGGAGCTGTGCACTCATTTGGTATCCGGGCCAAAACTTTTAGTTGCATCTACTTAGATGGATTAGATCTACTGAGTATAACAAAGCCTGCAGCTTAATCACCTTTGCAGCCATAAACAGCCAAGGATTTCCAGATAATTTGAGTTTATTACAAAGGAGAGGAAATAAGACAATTTAAGAAAGATAAGTTGGCCAAGAAAAAAAGAAAGCACTACAAACTCAGGGCCAAATTCTGTCCTTCTGGTACATCACTATAAATCTGGCATAACCCCACTGCAGTCATATTCACTCACGTAACCGAGAGCACAATTTGGCTGCAAGTACTTGAAGAAAATGTTAGCCTGTGCATATGTATAATTCCAATAAGTGACAGTGTTAGTGTTTCAAGTTAGCACATACCTCTGTCTCCCTCCTTCAGAAGTGAGAAGAATGGCATGGTTGAGGGCTTGTCTACATGAGGAAGCTCTTCAAAATAAGCCAGTGTGTGAATTTTAAGTGCGCTCCTCTTCCAAAGTAGATTAAACTAAAGTGCGCAAAAGGACTCTTAGTGCAGTATAAGAGTGTCCACAAGGGGAGCTGTTGTGGAATAGCTACTGTGGGCTATTACCCTGTGCAGAAAAGCCATGAGAGATCTAGCTGATAACAGAAGCATTTGCCTAGCGGCATGCTTAATCTTAGATTGTTACAATAGAGTAATCAATTGCAGGTGTCTGCGCAGCAGGCTTTTGTAGAGATGTAATCCTTTGGTTCAAAAGAAGGGAAGTGGAAATACACTTAAGACACAGTGTGGTAATTAAGTCTGTCAACACTTTAATATTTATATTGCAGCTGTGCCTCGCGGCCAACCTGGCTCATTGTGTTAGATACTGCATAGATATATAGTTAATGACAGTATGTCTCTGTTCATAGTTCATTGTATTCTTTCAGTCAAAACATCTGACCGTTAGCACAGGCAGGGCAGCTTGTTTCTTAGAAATGAAGATGAGGGAAACTGAACTGGTACAAGTTATGCCCAGTGTCAAACACAAGCTAGGGCTGTAGTGAATTTTATCAAGGAGAGAACATTATACAGCACTGGGACACTGGTGATAGATACAGTGCTTCGCTGAGAGAGAATCAGTCTTCTAGTAACTGCAGTGTATTCTGCAAATGGAGACCTACTGCACAAGCTAGGTTTCTCCTATCTATAATTGACAAAGTGGGAAAAGGTTGTAGTTTCAAAGGCATTGATGCTCGGATTTTCAAACCTGGGCTAATAAATACTGCTTACATATTTAGGGATGATTTCTCTTCTAAGCACAGAGTCTGAGTAACTGGACTGGTGTGAGAGAGCTGGAATCCTCCTACCAGGTTGTGGAGTGGTAACAGAGCCATTCTGTGGCAGCTACCGTAACCTGTATAATCACTACATTCGCCACCTCTAAGGAAGGGAATGGCAGGTGGATCTGTGTAGTCACCACTCACTACGCCATGCTGAAGATCTGTCCAAGGCAGCACAAAAGCAGCCCTAGCAGTTCACGAGGGATGCTGAGGTTTCTGGCATTGTAAGCCTCTTTGCATAAGTTTAATTGCATTCAATGCCTTAGAATGGAAAGACAGAATTTTCCACATTATGGCCCCAATCCAGCAAAGCACTTAAGCATATCCATAACTTTAAGCATGTGCACAGACTACAGTGGGACTACTCATGTGC